AAAAAACAATTTGTATCGGCCTATATGGTAACAAGCTGGTACAGCTAACAGAAAACCTGGTCTCTGCCCTATGTATCTTGATGTTATAGGTTATGGCCATATCACAAATTCAACTCCATTATTACAGGAAGGATTTAAAACTAATAGTTTTTTTTAACACGGGAGGAATTGTTGCTTTAAGGTAATATATTCAGTGTGTTTCACGCTGTAAGATGTTTTTATCAAAATTCCCCCCTCTAGGGTATGGCAAGATACGTTCCAAAGCTGTAAATGTAAGGACCCCAGTATCTCCTTTGTGGTGCAACCCAACATGTCGACCAATCGGGGTAGATAGTAGAATTTTTTACCATAGTATGCATGGTCCTTTATTCTACGTCAAAATTGGCATTTACTTTTTCCTATATAGGATGCACTGCATTCACAATGCATAATATAGACAATGCCAATTGTCTGGCAGTCTACAAATTGATTGATAGCATATGGAGTGCCGTCTGGCACGAATAAGGACTGATTCTCATAAATCCAACTACAGAAGTTACAGGATCCACATTTCCATGTACCATTTGGGGAGCTATCGTCTTGTCTATCATGAGCCCTACAGTGGCTTTGAGTAATGCTATCTTTCACTGAACATGGATTCTTATTTCTTTTTTTGCTTAAATAGGAGGTCCTCCCTGTTCAAATCCTGTTATAGGCTTTTCTGAGAAAAGTGCGTGAATAACCCCTCACGTACATGTACCTGATCCAGCATTTCTGGGTAGGCAGATGCGTGCACGAGCCTGCCACCCCATCTGTGCTGTCCTTTGGTACAGTACAAGTTGGTCAGTGGGTCCTGGCCAATGATTTAAGGTTGGGACCTGTTTATCAGCTTAGCGAATCCCAGTAAAGAGCCTTGTGTTTACTAACACAGGGTTCTGTGAATGGAGCAGCGATGTGACAAAGCCACATCCCTTAGTAAAAGCAGCACATAATACACACATTATGCATTGTTAGGCACACAGTTAACCCTTTGATTGCCCCTAGATGTTAGCTACTTCCCAGCCAGTGTCATTAGTACAGTGACAGTGTATAATATTATCATTGATCACTGTATTAGTTTCACTGGTGATGTCATTGTCAGTTCCCACCCAGTTAGTGTCAGATTGCCGTCCGCACTATCACAGTCCCTCTATAAGTCACCAATCACAGCCATTACTAGTAAAAAATAAATACAATTTCCAGTATATATACCATAGTTTGTGGACACTATAACTTTTACACACACCAATCAATATACACGTATTGGGATTTTTTGTTTTACCAAAGATTTGTAACAGAGTACAATTTGGCCTAAATTTATGAAGAAATATTAAAATAAACATATAAGCATTGGATATGTTTTTTCAAAATTTTAAGTCTTTTTCCATTTATACAGTAAAAGATAAAAAACCCAATGGTGATGATTATTATTATTATTATTATACAGGATTTATATTGCGCCCACAGTTTGCTCAGCACTTTACAATATGTCTTCATGTGACAGGAACAGGATACCTTTTATGTTTTGTACTTTCTTTCTCTAACCAGGTAGATGCCATATACATTAGATCAATGCCTAATTTTGGTAATTTCTAAACATACACCCCTCTCTGCCAATTCCTCCACTGGCTTCCCATTGCCCAATGGATAAAATTCAAAACATTAACAATAACATATAAAGCCATTTATAACTCTGCCCAAATTACACCACCAATCTTGTCTTCAAATATTACGCAAACCGTACTCTCTGCTCCTCGCAGGACCTCCTGCTTTCTAGCTCCCTTGTCTCCTCCTCCCATGCTCGTCTCCAGGACTTCTCCAGAGCTTCCCCCATCTTCTGGAACTCTCTAACCCAATCTAGCAGACTATCGTCTACTCTGCTCAGTTTTAGGCGATCTCTGAAAACCTCTCTCTTCAGGGAAGTCTATCCTGCCCTCAGCTAATAATGGAATCTTCTATTCCTCCTACCAGTCCATCCCCCACAGTTATTACCTTTTGTACCACTTGCCCCTCCCTCTTAGATTTTAAGCTCCAAGGAGCAGGGCCCTCCTAAGCCTCTTGTATTGAACTGTATTGTTGCTGTATTGTCTTCTGTTATATTGTAAAGTGCTGAGCAAACTGTTGGCGTTATATAAATCCTGTATAATAATAAAAATATATGCTAGTATACTATTGACAATGTATTTATTTTGTATTTCTTTATTACAGTATTTAATATATAGCACTGTCAATGTACACAGTGCTTTATGTTTAATTTTGCTACTATGTGAGTAGCCAATAGCATGAAGAACTGAATACAGATGCTGGAACCTGCTACTGCTAGCTAAGTGAAAATAAAAAGACATTAATATGATGTGAGTCATTCCTATGCTCTAGTGTTTAGGTTTACTGTATATAGCCAGTGTAAGCACAGATATGTGACAAATCACCTTATCCTAATGCTGCAATCTATTATTTTAATGAACCAGATAAGAATGGTGCTGGCTGCCTCCGGAAATATCTATAAATGAGGGAGGGGGGGTGAGTACAGACATTTTTGGTAAATGTTTTTTCAGGTACTTCCTGCAGAAGCCTTTTTTTTAAGAATACTTCACTAGAGTCCACAATGTTTTCCCAGGGGAGGTTGTGACTGTGACTTTCTCTAACATTACACTAGAAGAACTAAGTACCTGGAGTTCAAACACCCTCCTCTGTGTAGGTCATTGCTAGTGCACAATATATCATAGCGACCTAACTGCTGTTGTAATGTATTAGTCTGGGCTGCCCTGTGAATCAGTGCTATGTAGTTGTTCAGCCCTCCTGGAATGTCTGAGCTCCCTTTCATTTCCATGTAGCTTGCAATCACATTATAGCTCCTCAGCTCCTTTGTTACATCTTAATATATTCCACCTTTGTTACAAAGTATTTATCCTGGATACACATTACATTATGGTAACTGGATGAGTGAGCATGGCACGCAATTAGTACTGCACAGTAGACACATACAGCAATATATACAGTATGTAAATACAAGCGTACCTCCGTTTACGAACGCCTCGGTTAACATAATTTTTGGTTTACGAATGAAAATCCATTGAAAACAATGCCTTGGTTTACTAATTTTTTTCACAATAGGAATGGATTAATTGGTTTTCAATGCATTTATGAATTGTTCTTTAATCATGTCCCTGTACAGTACTATGCCTTTATAAAGAGTTTTGAACAGATAAGACTTTTTTTTTACTTTTTTCTGACCTCCGGAACGGATTAGTTGGTTTTCAATGCATTTACGATTTTTTTTATCATGTCCCTGTACTGTATTTATGCCTTTAAACTGCACTATATAAAGAGTCTTGAACAGATAAGACTTTTTTTTTACTTTTTTCTGACCTCTGGAATGGATTAATTGGTTTTCAATGCATTTATAAATTAATTTTTAATCATGTCCCTGTACAGTATTTATGCCTTTAAAGTGCACTTTATAATGAGTTTTGAACAGATAAAAGACTTTTTTTTACTTTTTTCTGACCTCTGGAACGGATTAATTGGTTTTCAATGCATTCCTATAGGAAACCGAGTTTTGGTTTACGAATTTTTCACAATACGAAAAGTCTCGCGAAACAATTTAAATTCGTAAACCAAGGTATGCCTGTATTCATTTTTTTATTTAAAACAATTCAGATGCATCATGAAATTGAAGGTGATTGGTCTGTCTTAAACTGCCCATGGTTGAGGAAAGTGGAAAGATAGCGCCGGACCCGTAGGTTTATTTTATTGGTATTGTTATCTTAAGGTACTGATGTTGATGTAAATGATCCGGTTCCTGGGCAGGCGGCTTCTACACCCCACGGGATCTCCACTGTCTATTTGGCTTGTAGTGTAATGTAAAAAGAGTTGAAATTAAAAAGCCACAACACTGCTAAGAGGACCAGATACAACTTTATTCTATTAAAGGTCAGGGGCAGGGGTGGACTGACAACTCATGGGGCCACCGGGCAATAGGGGATCATGGGGCCCCTGTGTCCTTTCCCACACTCAAAGCACACCCAAAAAGCCTATAAAAGGTATACCAGGGGCATTTCATGGGGCCCCCTACTGACCCCAGGCCCTCGGGCAGTGCCTGAATCTTTGAATGGTCAGTCCGCCCTTGGTCACGGGTACAATTCAAAAAGTAGCCAATGCATTTGGGGGGTCTAAATGACCTTCACCAGGGCTTGACCAGCAACAAAGCAAACAAAACCGAGGTGAACTGGACCTACAATGGTATTTTTTTCAGTGTGAATTAAAAGCAAGGGCCTAATCAGCAGCTTGTTTGGCCTGTGCTGATTAGGCCTGTGCTTTTAACTAGCTGCCGACCGCAGATAGCCGAATGACGGCTACACTGCAGCCGGCCATTTCTGAGTGGACGTCATATGACGTCCTCCCAGAACGCGCTCTCCTGCGCGCCCCAGGGGGCGCGCACCCGGTGATCTCCGTGATCGCTGTGTCCTACAGACACAGCTGATCACGTGATGTGGTAAAAGGCCAATCACAGCGGCCTTTTACCACATGATCAGCGGTGTCCAATGACACGCTGATCAGAGGGAAATGCAAGTGCCGGTTCTCGGCTGCACTTTCCTCACGCTGTCAGATCGTGAGGAAAGTACTGCCGAGAACCAGCAGTTGTCAGAGCGGGGATCGGCACCGATCATCAGGGCACTGATGATCAGTGCCCTAATGATCGGTGCCCAGCAGTGCCACCCGCAAGTTCCGCCCACCTGTGCCCAGCAGTGCGCCCACTAGCTCCGCCCACCTGTGCCCAGCAGATCACCCACCTGTGTCCAGCAGTGCACCCACCTGTGCCCAGCAGTGCACTCACCTGTGCCACTCTGCAGTGCCACCTACCTGTGCCCAGAAGTGCCACCTACCTGTGCCCAGCAGTGCCACCCACCTTTGCCCACCCACCTGTGCCCACCAGTGCCACCCACCTGTGCCCTCCCACCAGTGCTGCCCACCAGTGCAGCCCAGCAGTGCTGCCAGTCAGTGTCGCCAGTCAGTGCCACCAGTCAGTGCCCAGGGGTTGTGCCAGTCAGTGCCGCCAGTCAGTGCCCAGCAGTGATGCCAGTCAGTGTTGTCTATCAGTACCCATCATCAGTGTCACCTATCAGTGCCGCCTATCAGTGCTGCATATTAGTGCCGCCTATCCGTGACACCTCATTAGTGCTGTCTATCAGTGCCGCCTATCCGTGCCACCTCATTAGTACTGCCTATCAGTGCCCTTTAGTGCTGCCTATCAGTGCCCATCAGTGCCGCCTATCAGTGCCCATCAGTGCTGCCTCATCAACGCACATCAGTGAAGGAGAAAAAATACCTGTTTGAAAAATTTTATAATAGAAACAAAGAAACTTTTTTTTTTTTCAAATTTTTTGCAATTTTTTTATTTATAGCGCAAAAAGTAAAGCACCCAGTGGCGATTAAATACCACCAAAAGAAAGCTCTATTTGTGAGAAAAAAATGATCAAAATTTCATATGGGTACAATGTTGTATGACTGCGCAATTGTCAATCAAAGTGCGGCAGCGCTGAAAGCTGAAAATTGGCCTGGTAAATAAGGGGGTATAAGTGCCTGGTAGGCAAGTGGTTAATTTAGACTGGAGAAAATACCATTGTAGGTCCAGTTCACGTCTGGTGAACATGTAATATATCCTCATGGTTGTCTGGTACAGTGTGATGGCATACATAGATATTACAATTGTTGTCATACAAAAATTAGATCCTCATACTTTATAAATTATTTTATTTCAGACCTCAGTGCTACAGTAACAGAGAGAGAAAAGATGTGTGCTTTCCTTTGTGCAGAGAAGTCAGAACAACCAAAAAGGGTAACATTTTCACTTTAAAGTGTTACTAAACCCACAACAGTAAAATCAGTCTGTATATGCAGTAAAGCATGCTTGTTATACTCATTGTGGAATTTAAGGGGTTAATCCTCTGCATTGTGTAAAAAGGCTGTTTGATCCTGACTTCTCTGCCCCTCCTCTTGTTGAAATGACCACCTGATACAGACTGAATCCATAGTCATATGCACATGCTCAGTTTGGTGTGTATTGCTTGAGAGGTTTTGTTTTTTTTAGGGGGGATGCATGTGATCAGCACAGGGCCAATCAGCACTGTCCAGACAGAGAATCAAGGGTTTCACATCTTCCTAGAGCAGAAAGATAACTCCTCCTACAAGCTTTAACCAGTGCTCTGCTGAAGTCACAAGACTGCTCTAACTGCTGATGAGAAAAGGTATTTAGCATTGTATATTTACTAAAATAATTGCATTTCCATGTTCTGTGTACTGTGGGAGACCGGATACAGTGAATGCAGGGTCCTAGGTTTAGTAACACTTTAAGGCATGTCAGAAAAAAATTCATTCTGATTGGTTACCAGGGGTGGACTGACCATTTGGGCACTTGGGCAATGCCCGAGGGCCCTGGGTCAGTAGGGGGCCCCATGAGATGCCCCTGGTTCCTTTCATAAGCTTTTTTGGGTGTGGCTTGAGTGTGGGCAAGGACACAAGGGCCCCATGATCCCTTATTGCCCAGGGGCCCCATAAGTTGTCAGTCCACCCCTGTTGTTTACCATGAGTTGTTGAAGCCTATAACACTGCTACTGGTGTTGTGGCATGCACTTTTATGTATATGCCTGATATTGTTTATGGCCACTGAAGATTATGCATATCACACTGTGCTCTAATAACCTTCCATGTCCTATTTTATTTAAAATGTGTCTCCGAGCACTGGAATCATTCCAAATCTCCAAAATACTATTTTAAGAATAGCTGTGGCCTGGTCACCTTATCTGTGGAGACACATGCAGCTTGGAAAAAAGGTTAAGCTTACCTTGTTGTTTGAGTTTGGGGGAGTGGAATGTTTGTATAGTTTCTCTGAAGATTTTCACTTCAAAGAGCAGGTCCAGGCGATTCCTCTACTCGGTAGTCAATAGCTGTGTGGCTTGAGAACACAGCAAAAACCTCAATGAGTAAAGCATAAAAAATGTCTGAAATGCCTGACCAGGTAAATACTCAGGAGACACTGTTGTAATATGGTAGAGACAGTCTTTCAAGTAACACGGAATTAACTAATATAAATAAACTTTGTTTTGGATCTATTCAAGGTACTTAAACACATGACCTTAGGCCATGTCATTATGTGTCCCTAGCAATCATTCACTAATGTGAAGGGGTATTAATAATATTTTCCATGTATATACACTAATCGGTTTCCTCTAGATTGGTATTAACATCTGTGTTAGGTTGTTAGATTATTAGCATAATTTTGTTACTATAACAAGTAAAATGGCAATTAAACTGGCAATTACCTTTGAACATTGGACTGACTTGTGGGAGAAGTGTCAACTATGTAGATTAAAATATATTCTAAAAAGATACATTTGTATCTTTCAAACTATCATAAACTTGCAATAACAAAAACAGTAGAAATGGTATCTCTTTTGCCCTTAATGCCATCAATGTGTGGATTAATCTAGTTATGGACATTTTGGCAGCATTCCCTTTCTTGCAACCAGAAATGATTACTTGGGTCTTTTTACTGCAGCAAATGATTAGGTCCCAACAGCACAGTCTAGCTCAGCCTTCCTTTTACAAAGCTGAACCCTAGGCTGATACAAAATGCACACATTATTTTATATCTGTAAATTTTAATTCATGCTTAAATGAATTTTTTTAATGCAGACAGCTTAAGTACCTGAATATGACTTGGTATCAGACTCTTGTAGTTTACTGATTAGTTCAGCCTTTCTCAGACAGGGTTCCTCCAGAGGTTGCTAGGGGTTCCTTGAGCAAAGAGCACCTTTTGCCTCTAAGATAAGGCCCCACTGACACCATTGATTTTTTAGCAACCTGTAAGGGGGAGATTCTTCCCATGGATCACCAAGGTAAGAAGAACTTTTCTCAATGGCCACCAATGTAAGGAGCTTACTTTTTAAGGACCACTGATATAAGGAGCATTCTTCCCATTGACCACAAAGGTAAGCATCATTCTTACCACGGACCATCACACTAATGTACAGTTGCTTTAGTAACTACTAGCAGGAGTTCTCTAAAACCAGAAATATGTAAATATTCAGAGCACTTCTTAATAAGCAAATGCCACTTTTCCCTAAAAACTGATATACACTGTTCATATATATTATAGATAGATATTATGAAAACATGACTCATTTTGTAATTTAATGTTTTTAGCAAATACATTTCTTTTTTAATCTGCTTTTTTAAAAAATGATTAAGAAATTTAAAGTCTCTTCTTGCAATCTGACAAACTGGAGGTGTTCTTTGCCACTGACATAAAGAATAACCCCAGAATCAAAGTTGCTATTTGTGTGATTGGCTCACTGTTTTTTTTTTAGAAAAACTTACTAGAACCTACAATCAAATTTCAGGAAGGAGTAGTTTCATTTTGGCTGTGGCATAATTACAAATCATGAGGCCCTATTGCAAAATGTTGATGAGGCCCCTGCTGACCTCCCTTTGTGGCACCTGGCAGGGTCAAGCTGTCAGAGAAGAGAATCTTAGGGCCTTAGTGTAAATTCTACGGCCTCCCACCCATTCCCAGTGTTTAAAGAGGTGGTGTAATCAGTAAAAAAACACACACACACACACACAAATGATAGCAGCAATAATAATAATAGCCATCACAATCTTTTATAATATTACATTATTAATAATGCTCCTGCGCACAATTACTCTATAACCCTGATATACATTTCTTTAAATTCTGGCTTTTTTGCACAAGTACAAATCTCACCTGTCTTATCAGTTTTTAGCTGAGAAGACACTGTACAGTTTGAGGAAGAATGCATTATGCATACAGGGTCAATGTTAGAAATGGCTATAAGCTGCAGCAATAAATCTGAGTGCAATAGTTCTACACTGCTAAAACAGATAAACAAAACCACAAAAAAAGTGACTCTATGACTAGGAATAATCCTAAAGGCTCCTCCGATACCTCTGATGTCAGGATTTCTAAACTGGAGACTTCTCTATCTGTCTGTTTTGGAAAGGAAGTGAAAGGAAATCTCCCCAATGAGAAAAAGAAAAGAAAACTCAAAGGGTTTATAACTATACCTCCTTTATTCTATTCAAAATTTTGAAAAAAAGTTTTGCCTTCAATTCTACCTATTAGAAACCTACTATATGTATGACCAGTTTATTTCTTGAATTATTATTATTATTATTATACGTATACAGGATTTATATAGCGCCAACATTTTGTGCAGCGCTTTACAATATAAGGGAGACAGTACAATTACAATACATTTCAGTACAGGAGGAATGTGAGGGCCCTGCTTTTGGAGCTTACAATCTAAAGGAAGGGGGTGGTGATACAAAAGGTGATAGCTGCGGGGGATGATCTGGTTGAGGTGATTCAAGTACAGTTCTTAGGTGGAGATGGGGTAGGCTTCCCTGAAGAAGTGAGTTTTCAAAGATTGCCTAGAGGCAGACAGGGTGGGGGTTGACCGGACATGCTGTGGTAGGAAGTTCCAGAGGATGGGAGAGGCTCTGGAGAAGTCCTGGAGGCGAGCGTGGGAGGAGGTGATGAGGGAGCTAGAGAGGAAGATATAGAATCATGATAACATTTCAATATATTGTAATTATTTATACAGTATTTAGAGTAAATTATGAAACAAAAGTTAGTCTACATGACCAATTGTTCAATATAAAAGAATTTAAAGGGAATGTTTATATTCACAGATTATTTATGGAATTAAAGCCTATACATCTCTCAAGTCCTCCCTAATGAACAAGAAGTATTAGTTTTGGAGCAGCCTGTCTCATGAAGCTATGTATTACTCTATCTGCATAGCCTGCCTCTCTCTAATAATATTATGAAATACCCAACTACTTTTGTTTTATTGACCGCAATATTATTCTTTCTTGAATCTACTTTTTCATATGGTCAGTAAAGTGAAGCTATCTTGCAATTTTAGTGAACACATATCTTTACTATGGTAGACTTCAACTGAAAGTAAATTTAGCTTTTTGTATTTTTTAACCCATTATATTATTATTTGTATTTTTAACTGCTTGGATGCCACATTACCATGGTCTTACTCTATATCAAAATATTTATCTGTTCTCTATAATGATTTCCACATCCTATCTATGTGTTAATCCCTTTGTTGAATGACTGCTGTGGGAATATCTATTGCAGATACTCCTTCTACAGGCCCCATTCATAACAGAATCTGCGCAGGGTTCACAATGCACTGCAGTTGTGATCTGCAGCTGGTGTCAATGTTAACGACACCCACCAAACTCAGGTCACAAACACAGTGAATTTGCCCGCCCCAGATCTCATGGAACAGAAGCAACATGCAATTCGATTGCAGTGCATTTCCAAAAGTAGCGCATGCACTACTTTTGGCGTGTACCGCATGGGAATTGCACGCTGCGTGTAAACTGGCCATCAGGGTACATTTTCATAGAAAGCATATCACCAGGGCTCCAATTAGAGATGTGCACAGCAGGGGTGGACTGACCATTTGGAAACTCGGGCACTGCCCGAGGGCCCGGGGTCAGTAGGGGGCCCCATGAGATGCCCCTGGTACCTTTTTCTTAGGCTTTTTTGAGTTTGGGCAAGGACACAGGGGCCCCATGATCCCCTATTGCCCGGGGGCCCCATGAGTTGTCAGACCGCCCCTGGTGCACAGAGATGTGCACAGAGACAGTACGGGTCCATTCAAACAAGAGTGTAAGGCTCTATTCACACCAATGCGTTTTTTTAGTGCTTTGTGCAGAAAAGCACTACAGTCCATTTAACATGGTTTCCTACAGAACATGTTCACATCTATGCTTTTTTGAGCTGCTGCGTTTTTGGAAAGGGTCAGGGACTTTTTTAAAAGCAAAAAGCAGTGTTTTTGCTACAATAAGAGTTCAGTGAAGAAGCTACTGAAATGCATGGTAGTGCGTATTTGCCGCATTTGGCATTTCGCATTTTTATTCTGCCCAGCGACAAAAAAATTCCACTTAAAGCTCTGTTCACATCAAAACATTTTTAGTGCTTTTTGGAGAAACACACTACAGTCCATTTAACATGGTTTCCTATGGGACTTGTTCACATCTATGCTTTTTTGAGCTGCTGCGGTTTAGAAAGGGTCAGGAACTTTTTTAAAAGCAAAAAGCAGCGTTTTTGCTACAACAGAGTTCAATGGAGAAGCTGTTGAAATGCATGGTAGGCATTTTTCCGCTTTTTTGCTGCTTTATGTGTTTTGCATTTTAAAAAAATTCCACTTTAACCATTTCAAGTCTGGACACTTTTACCCCCTTCCTGTCCAGGCCAATTTTCAGCTTTCAGCGCTATCACACTTTGAATGACAATTGTGTGGTCATGCAACACTGTACCCATATCTATTCAGCTATCTTTAAAAAAAAATAACCCAAATTACTTTATAACCAAAAATTATAATTTTTCAATATTTTTTTTTACATTTTCATTTTATTTTTTTTATAATATTATTAGTTATGTTTTTTTTTTTTTAACATACCATCATCCTAGCAGTACAGTGTCACCATAATGACACTGTACTACTTGTGGGGGTTGATGAAGATTTTTTTTTTACACTGATTGCTTTTACACCCATAAAGGCTGTAAAAGCAATCATTTCTCCTTCTCTCTGGCTGCATTCATGTAGCCATTGAGAAATACTGTGAGCTGTGATTGGTCACAGCTTGTCACATGGTACAAGGCTGTTGTGAATAGCCTTGTACCATGTGACCTCTGTGATCATTCACAGATTTCACTAGTAGTAAGCAACGGTCAGGAATGACATTTTGTTTACTACTATTCATGTGATCACTGATTGGCCAATCAGTGATCACATGATTGGGACCTCACACAGAGGTCCCGTACAGCGAACGGTGGACACAGCGGGCACCGGATCGTGGTGCCGTGTGCTCCCAGGGAGTGTGCACAGGCATTGAATGCGGGGGTCGTTTATAAATGGCCACCCGCTTCAGCACTGCTTCCGTCTGGCCGTTTATGTACATGGGCCGGATGGGAAGTGGATAACAAAAAAAAAGAAGAGCTGAACAACATGAAAAACGTGGTAAAATCGGGTCAAAAAACGCATGTAGAAAAATGCAAAACGAACTGCAAAATGGACAAAGAGCAAAATGCATAGGTGTAAACGGAGCCTTAACAAACTAAAAAGGAGCTGAACAAAACACAAAACTTAGTAAAAATGCATAAAAGCCGCATGAAAAGCGTGTCAAGAATGTGTGTAGAAAAACGCAAAACAAACTGCGAAAAGCACTGCAAAACGGATAAAAGGCAAACTGCATAGGTGTGTACGGAGCCTTAGGACCATAAAGGAAAAAAACTAAAAAAGTGGCCCCATGGGATTTTTACCTCTATCACCCATTGTTTTAACTAGTAGCCGACCGCAGATAGCCGAATGACGGCTGCACTGCGGCCGGCCAGTTCTGAGTGGACGTCATATGACGTCCTCCCAGAACGTGCTCTCCTGCGCGCTTCAGGGGGCGCGCACCCGGCGATCTCCGTGATCGCTGTGGCCTACGGACACAGCTGATCACGTGATGTGGTAAAAGGCCAATCACAGCGGCCTTTTAACACGTGATCAGCGGTGTCCAATGACACGCTGATCAGAGGGAAATGCAAGTGCCGGTTCTCGGCTGCACTTTCCTCACGCTGTCAGATCGTGAGGAAAGTACTGCCGAGAACCGGCAGTTGTCAGAGCGAGGATCGGCACCGATCATCAGGGCACTGATGATCAGTGCCCTGATGATCGGTGCCCAGCAGTGCCACTCGCAAGTTCCGCCCACCTGTGCCCAGCAGTGCGCCCACTAGCTCCACCCACCTGTGCCCAGCAGTGCACCCACCTGTGCCCAGAAGTGCACCCACCTGTGCCACTCTGCAGTGTCACACACCTGTTCCCAGAAGTGCCACCTACCTGTGCCCAGCAGTGCCACCAACCTGTGCCCACCCACCTGTGCCACCCACCTGTGCCCACCCACCAGTGCTGCCCACCAGTGCCACCCACCAGTGCAGCCCAGCAGTGCCGCCAGTCAGTGCCACCAGTCAGTGCCCAGGGGTTGTGCCAGTCAGTGCTGTCAGTCAGTGCCCAGCAGTGATGCCAGTCAGTGCCGTCTATCAGTACCCATCATCAGTGCCGCCTATCAGTGCTGCATATTAGTGCCGCCTATCCGTGACACCTCATTAGTGCTGTCTATCAGTGCCGCCTATCCGTGCCACCTCATTAGTGCTGCCTATCAGTGCCCTTTAGTGCTGCCTATCAGTGCCCATCAGTGCCGCCTATCAGTGCCCATCAGTGCTGCCTCATCAACGCACATCAGTGAAGGAGAAAAAATACCTGTTTGAAAAATTTTATAATAGAAACAAAGAAACTTTTTTTTTTTTTTTCAAATGTTTTGCAATTTTTTTATTTATAGCGCAAAAAGTAAAGCGCCCAGTGGCGATTAAATACCACCAAAAAAAAGCTCTATTTGCGAGAAAAAATGATCAAAATTTCATATGGGTACAATGTTGCATGACCGCGCAATTGTCAATCAAAGTGCGGCAGCGCTGAAAGCTGAAAATTGGCCTGGTAAATAAGGGGGTATAAGTGCCTGGTAGGCAAGTGGTTAATGAACTCTTTTCCTACTAGTAGGCTATGATGATTGTTAAGTATATGTCTCTCAAGGGGCTGCCTTACTGGTTCTGTTTTGTGTTCCAGGTTACAAGCTGCCTGCTGTTGCTAGGAGGATTTACCTCACTTGCTCGGCAGATCTCCATTCAGCTGAGTGCTGGTTTGGTGACAAACTTCTTGGCAGGAAAACAGCTGGCCATTGAGTGGATCCTTTCACCTGTATATTCACCCGTCACTGGGTGGTGTAAGCATTTAACTGAGGTCTGCCATCTGGACTCGCCTCCGGATTATCTTCAGCCTTCTTTTGACCCACTTCCCCGCCCACCTCTCATATTTCCTTTTTCCCCCCTTCACAGTCAATCTTTTTGGGGTAATGTTTTTGTGGATGGACAATTGTTGGTAAACTCTTATTTTGCTGACAAACTCATGTAGACTTCACCTCCGCAACATCTCCAAAATACTTCCGTTCCTAATCCCAGAAAACACTAAGCAACTAACTCATTCACTCCCTTATTATATCACGACTTGACTACTGTAACTCCGTCCTCATCGGCTTACCTCACAGCAGGCTATCCCCGCTTCAGTCTATCCTGAATACTGCGGCCAGACTCATCCACCTTACTAACCGCTCCATATCTGCCACCCCCCTCTGCCAATCCTTCCACTGGCTTCCGATTGCCCAACGGATAAAATTCAAAATACTAACATTGACTTATAAAGCTGTTCATAATACTGCCCCAAACTACATCACTGATCTAGTATCCAAATACCACCCAAAACATACTCTCCGCTCCTCACAAGACCTCCTACTCTCTAGTTCCCTGGTCTCCTCCTCCCATGCTCATCTCCAGGACTTCTGCAGGGCTTCCCCCATCCTCTGGAACTCCCTACCCCAATCCATCAGACTATCACCTACTCTGCCCACCTTTAGATGCACCCTGAAAACCTATCTCTTCAGGGAAGCCTACCCCGCCCTCAGGTAATTACTGAACTCCTCCACTCTTCCTACCACTCCATCTCCCACAGCTATTTCCTCCTGTACCACTATCCCCTCCCTCCTAGATTGTAAGCTCCAAGGAGCAGGGCCCTCGAACCCCTTGTGTATTGAATCGTATTGTTACTGTACTGTCTCGTGTACTGTCTCCCGTTATATTGTAAAAAGCGCTGAGCAAACTGTTGGCCCTATATAAATACTGTAAAATAATAATAATAATTTTGGTAGCTAAGCATGTTGGTCTGTTAACCTCTTCCACACCGCCCTATAGCAGAAATACTGCTACAGGAAAGCACGGGTGCGCAAAATCACATATATATACTTGCTTTTGCAGTTCCGGGTAGGGGGTGCACATCCGCCCTCCCCATGCCACCATTCACGGTCTCGGCTGTCAATCATTTGGTCCCGGCTGGTGATTCCCCGCTGGCACCCAGCGATCTCTGAGGATTTCCGACGGGGGAGAGACCTGTATGTAAACAATACAGATCTCTCCCCTGTCAGCTCCTGCACACTGCTTTGTATGGCTCTGCATAGAACAAAGAGAGGCTTACTGTAAGCCTATGATCTCCAAATCATAAAATGATACTAGCAGATAATTGCTTCCAGAGTAGTTGTGATGAATTTTAGCTTTTACCTGAAGTTACTAATACTAATTACATAAAAATAGGTCAAATACTTTTTGATTGATGCTCAGTCCTTTTTTCCCAGTTCTTGGGAGTCCTTGGTTTTGCTCTCTGCTGAGCCTAAAGCCTAGTACATGCTACGTTTTTTGTTTGTTCAACCCAGTGGGTCAAATGAAAAAAAAACCACAGGAAACTCGCCATACTAGCAATGCAATGTTAGTGCGGTGATCTCCCACTGCTGAGCTATTGTGTTCTGATTAGGGGACTGCCCCCCCCCCCCGAGCACTGATCAGCGGTCACAGCCATTGGGTGCCAGCGCTGATCGGCTGCTGGTTTTCCAGCATGTCCCTTCAACAAAAGCCAGTTGTTGGACCGGCTTCTGTCGAGCAGGCAGCTGTACACACTGTCCAAATGTTGGCCAGGTCCTGCTGAATCGGGCGATAATTGGATCGCGTGTACCCAGCATTAAGTTGACCAAAATTAAATGGTTGGCCCTGCTCTGTCAACAAAGGTTTATCCTTTAACCACTTGCCCTCCAGAGGATTTACCCCCCTTCCTGACCAGGACATTTTTTGTGTTACGACGCTGTGTTATTTTAACTGACAATTGCGCGGTCATGCAACGCTGCACCTAAATTAAATTTAAGTCCCTTTTTTCCCAGGAATTGAGCTTTCTTTCAATGCTTTTGATCGCCTGTGCAGTTTTTAATTTTTGTGCTATAAAAGAAAAGTCCGATAATTGTGAGAAAAAAACAACATTTTTGACTTTTTGCTATTAAACATGTCCAGTAAAAACATTTATGACAAAATCTAATTTTGGCATAAATTAAGGCCAAAATGTATTCTGCTACATGTCTTTGCTAAGAAAAAATTTCAATACGTGTAAATTAATTGGTTCACTTGAAAGTTATAGTGTTTACAAATGGCAGTATATATACTGGGATTTTTTTTTATTTTTACTAGCAATGGCAACAATCAGCGACTTATAGCGGGACTGCGGTGGGTATTTTACACTGGGGGGAATTGACTTAGTGTTACTGACATCCCCAGTGACACCAATACACTGTTCAGTGCTAAAAAAACACTGACACTGTACTAATGGCACTGGGCAGGAAGGGGTTAACATGAGGGGCGATCAAAGGGTTACTGTGTGGAGGAGTAGTCAGGGACGAGCCAGGGATCAGAGCAGGAGATAGTGAACAGGAATCAGGACAGGTAGGGTCGGCAACTAGGAACTTACTTCAGAAAACAGATGACAGGAACTAGACCTTGCAGCAATCTGAACACCACCTGGCTAGTTTAAGTAGCGCACCCTGCACTGTCACTGGTGCCAGGCGCGTGCCCGCGTGCGCAAGTTCGCATGCACGGTCGCAATTGCCGCCGTGGGCGCCCAGGTCCTAATGCCTGCACATTGGTTCGCAGGCGAGACCCACGAGCCCTGACAATGGGACTGTGGCAGCATGACGGTTTAAAGATTCACTCCTTTACCCTTCCTAGTTAGCTTATTAGGTGGGAGGAGTTAGAAGCCATTTGGATGTTGATAGGCCAGGGCCTGAGGGAGAATCAGCTGACCTATGGAAGGTCAGCTGACCTTTAGGAATGTTCCAGAATGTCAGGTCACCTGACCATTTGGAAACTTTTCGAAGAGGTCAAACACCTATCTAACCCCTTGGCGCCGGCACCTCCTGACCCTTTAAGGGTTTTAGAAGCCAGGAGGCGGGCAGGGCTTTAGGGTCATGTGACCACTGTGATTCGCTGTCACGGCGGTCACATGGTCAGGAAAGGTCCCGATCACAAGAGGAGATCAGGACCTTTCCATGAGTACTGGACATGTGTGCTGGGAGCACGCAGGGCGCACGCTCTCAGCACATATGGTTTTTTTAATTGCACACAATTGTGTGGCCGCTCGGCGTCAAGGCCCAGATGCCGAGAGGCCGCACATTTGCGCATGAAGAGGTAAAACAAGCTCCATGAAGCCTGCTATGCCAGTCTTCAAGACCTCCTACCTGTGAGCTCCCACCTCCTTTTTAGTCACGGCCTATTGATTTTATTATGTGGTTGGGTCACCTTTTACTTGAAAGGGGGACAGTTAATAAATGTTTTTGCTATTATTGCAACCCAGTCATAGTGACTATGTTTGTTTACTAGTCTGTTGTGTTGGGGTTATTTATTATAACAGCTTATATTTATGGTACATTGATATGTATAAGCCATTCATACCAATAATAAAGAGGCCTAGATTGTAGTTTTTATTTCATTGCTCATTGCTGTCTATGGTCCCATTATTTTTAGTGTTAATTTTTAGAGAAGTACGTATGTTCCTCTTACACATGAAACACGTAGGTCCCACAACATTAGTGCTGGTGTCTCCCTTAGTACAAAAGATAGATATCTATAAAGTGTTCTATTAAAAATGCTAGTTTGTATTTAATTACAGTACAAAGTGTTTCCACTTACTTTCTTTATATCAAATTGGCAGCAATTTCATTTTCTATAACAAAATCAACACACATATAATTACTTTATCTCATATTATAAAGTAATGTGTTTGCCCATTTACTATGCGCTACAAGTGATTTCCTGAATCTTATCTTCATATCTCTCGCTAGCAGGGTTTGTTTATACTTTTAACAGAGGGGAATTCTCTTTATATCTGACACAATACACAGATAGGCAGTAAACTGCATTGTGGAGGATACTTCCAACTTTTAATATATAATTATTTTAACTTTTATTGTGTTAACAGGAAATATGATAGTATTATCTTTTTTATGGGAGTAATTTATTAATCATCCACTTCCAATACTAAGATATTTGACAGTGGCCAGGCATGCAGGTATAGTACTTTCCAGTGATCTTTCTAGAAATGTAAAAGTTTAAAATGTAAAGTTTTTTAAAAGATTATTGTGGGGTAGACCAAATGTCCAGTTGCTGTTTGTGTCCCTACTGAGAGATTGCCTCCATTTAATCTGATTACGATTGTCACTGTAAGATATAACTAAAACAAATGCCAACTTTCTAAGAGGGGGATTTATCTCACTTTGGAGTGTTTTCCTCTCTCTTCCTGATGTGTCTACAAGACAAGAAGCATAACCTTTCAACATTATAACTTGAGA